TTTATGTATAAAATCACTATGTCAGTATGTTTATAACTGGATTTACGGGACTAGCTCATGATATTCGGTTAGTTTGATCAATTCAATTTGTCGCTATGGGCATATAGTTTGTTTTAATACCTATTATTATTGCACAATTTACTGACAGGACACGATGTTCCCCACTCAGGTAGCTATAGAAAAAATTAATAATATTGATACTGTAAATTCTGAATATTATCATGATTAAATAATAATTATTAAATCATTATTCTTAAACTTTTGAGTCAAATAATGTGATTAATTAAATGTTCATGTTCATGTTTAGTGATTATATTACTTTAGGTTTGCAATGTGTAATATGTATATAACATTACGTGTTATTAAAATACAATTCCAATTTATGATTATCTAGATAGTATAGAATATAATTTTAATTTAATATAAATGTGTTAAATATTCCCTTTCTTATCGAATTATTGAATTACTTTTACAATAAAAAATTTTACCTTTACATAATTTATTAAAACAAATAAAAATTTTGTAACTAAATATGGCGATTGTAGTATTTATTAGTCATATATATTTTTACTATAACTACTATTTACATTGTTTAACATTGATTAATAAATAATTCTTTATATCCAAATAATACTATTTTTAATTCGGTAGTATTGGTTAAACTTACCAGTGTTTCTCCAATATTTTATATAGTGCAAAATTTAAATACACGTCACTTTGTTTAAAAGTTACACTTAAACTTGAAACATATTTCATAAATTTACTTTACTAATGTTAAGTTCTTGTGTATAAATTATTTATCATCATTCTTTCTTAAAAAGAAATTGCCTGGTAATTATCGTATAAATGAAGGTATAAATAAATAATGTTATCATATTTAGCAAAAATCCTCAAAATATTGTAGTGTCGATAAAACTCACGAAATTAAACCAATTCGAGGCTATAAGCTGTGCATCCATTGGTCGTCACTACATTCCCTTACTTTCCAAACAGACCTTATATTGACTACACCATCACATAGTTACTAATACCTTGGTAACAACTAATAAACACTAACTATGATATTATATTCTAACATATAAAATAAACGTGCAGTAAACATTAAATAATAGTACACCTCCTTTAACCTAATCCATATAGCAAACAAAGTATTAACGATTCCGATACTAACCTAATCAAAATCATAATCATAATATAATAATATAATAATCACATTTTAATAGCTCTCTCTCCCATTCAGGACCACAAAATTGGGAGAGAGAGCTATTAATATGTGATTAAAATTATAATTAGTAAATTATTAACTGATTTTACTTTAAGCTACATTAAATACTTTGTAAAAAGTTAATAATAATTTAATATTTTATAATAATTAAATATATAATTAGCTCACTCTTTCTTTATCGGGGGGCGCAAAAAACGTAGGGCGTCGGGACCAAAAAGTCAATCCCCCAAGACCGTTGTGTTCATGTGTTGAAATAAAAAACATTTATTTGTTAAATATAAACTCTATACAGAACAAGAGTTTTATTGTGTAATCTAATCAGTTATTCTTATATAGATTAGTTACCATGAAATAAAAAAATTACAAATTAATATATCCAATTATATATATCCAATAAAACACTAAACACTAAACTCAATGCTTGTAGAATATAAATTATTGTTAGCAGAATTACAGTATCATTGAAACATATATATGTTATTTACCGTAAAAGTAAAATGTTGGACAAAACTCTTTGGATTCATTTTCTTGTGATTTAAGTATAAATTTGTATTTTGTTTGTTACAAATAATTATGTTTTACCCCGTTAGTTATATTATAGAATTACATCGAAAATATTTGTAATAAGTAAATTTTAGTACAATTAAATACAATTCAAACACAGTTTATAACACTAAGGTTGTTTCACCCGTTGCTGATATAAATTGATTTTAATTTATTAATTTATTTTTAAAGATTTTTTTTTAAAATTAATTTTTTCTAATGTAACATTAACAAAAATCAGATTTAAAAAATGTAGGTTTTTTTTTAATTATTTCATGTTTTCCAAAAATTCATTTCCAATTCCATTTCATTTTAATCTTGGGCAATTGTGAAATATAATCATATTGCCGCAAATAAATCATATCTCTCATTACATTATATTGATCTAGCTTAACCATAACCCATCTAAATTATAAGAAAACAAATCCAAAGGTTTGGCAAATTTTTAAATAAATACCTCAATATAGTTATAATATTTTTAATGAAATAAATAAATACAGGTGTGTACCATCATATCCCAAATATTTTAAACCGAATTTTAATACACTTCTAATTATTATATTTTAATGAATATTACACCAATATATTCAGAAAATATTCATTTCCAATGTACAATTTTAAGAAAATATATGTATTTTTATAAACTGGTAAAAATTTAATAGCATATAATTGTAGTTAGTATTTCAATTGATAGTGCGTATATTAACTGTAATTTAATTATTTATTTTAAATAATAAATTTATTTAAAAAATTACCAAATTACAAATAAGTAATTATGTTACATTTAAATTTGACATATTAATATTTATAAAATACAGTTATTGCATTAATAATATTTTTACAATCAAATTCGTTTTTTAATAATTTCTATAACAAATTAAGTAAAATATATTTTAGAAATTATGTGTATCTTATTCAAAACTTTCAAATAAATATAATAAAATATCGAACACAGATATATTTTAAATAATTAAAATTTTTGCTTGGTTAAAATATATATTAAATAAAATTATGATTATAAAGAATAATATAAAAATTTAAACTAAAATCATCATCAACTAGGATATAAATTTAATATTGCTCACAATGAATAAGTACTTTAAAGGTTTCCCACTTTAGAGGTCTATAAACAACATTATCGTTGTGCATATTTATGGATACTAATGTTGATAACATAGAAATGTTTTTAAAATTTACATTTTATTTTTCGATGGGGAATCGATTTAGTGGGTTGGTACAAAGTTGAAAAAATAGCTGAAAAGGTAGTCTGAAAATATACGACAAACTGTAAGAAATTGTGTATTTTTAAACATGAATAACTTTTTAACTATTGAAGTTACAAAAATAATTTTTACATATTTATATATCATTTAATAAGCTTATTTTATTTTGTTAATTTCACCAAATTATATTGACAATGTGTAATACCTTGACATGGTGTTTTTATTTAGTGTATATTTAGTTACTATTTTATAATGTTATCTTAATTAGTCTTACAAGTTAGTAAAAAAATGTGTGGTATTATTGAAAGGATTGTTTATGTTATGTTTACAGCTCATAGTGAAAAATAAATGACAGTGTTCAGGATAAAATGAACCATATATAAATATTTCACTTGTTATTTAAAGTTTCGTTATTCAAATAATTTGTTTTCTAAAAATCTAAACAATAAATTGTTATCTATGTTTTTAAAGGATGTTAATATACTAGATAGATTTTCATTCTCTAACATAACTTTACTATTTATACGCCATGTGTTGATACCAGTAATTAATTCCGCTGTTGTCGGTCGTTTCTCTGCCTTATATCGAATCATGTCATTTAAGATAATGCTAAAAATAACTTGCTCAAATTCCTCGACTTGTTTTGATTCATTTCTATTTAAATTGAAATAAGTTTATAATTAATATTTTTAAAGTAAGTTTTTTTACTATTCTATATTTCTAAATTTACTCGTAAATAGTTTTTATTTTATTAACTATCAGTTTATTGTAAAAATTTATAAAATATTTTCATATGATATATTATTCATCAAATAAACAGTTATTTAAATAACCTTTTCTAATATTAATTATAGCAAAACTAATTTTAAAAATTTAGTGTAAACATTATTTTGGAAACTAATATCATGAATAAACTTACCCGATAATATTGAAAAGGTCCAGTCCAATTTGGCCTAACGAGTAGATATCATTTGCGGGTTTATATATACCACTATAAGCTTCCGGTGGCATATATTTATTTGTGCCGACTACCCCACCCTTTATGGTACTACCATTGAAATTTGTGGCCAGCCCAAAATCACATATTTTACAAAACACTTCATTGCTACCATTCGGATCAATTAAAATATTTGACGGCTTAAGGTCCCTGTGTAATATCCCTTTCTTATGCAAATAATTTAGGCCGTGAATTAACTCAATAAATAGCTCACAAGAAATGAAGTATCTTATTTGGTTTTCGGTAATGTTACTAATTGTGTTTACTTTAAAAGTGGTGTCTTTAATATATATGAGGTCTTTTAATGTAGACTCATAATAGTCCATTTGAATATACATTCTGTTTCTTGTATTCCAACATGATATGTACTTGGCCACATACTTGTTGTCTTTTAATTTTATATTCGTCTGAATTTCATTTTTAGCTAAATAAAGGTATAACAGAGTTATGAACATTGTGAAGTATTTAATGTTTTATCTTGAAATATTTAAAATGTATTTAATCAATGTAAAAGAATTATAAAATAGTTAGTAATTTAAGTTAAGATAATAAGATTTAAATAAAAACTTACATATATTATCATTTTTAAAAATTTTCTTTATTGCATATATTTTTCCACTCTTATTACATGACACTTTATGGACTTTTCCATAACTACCCTTTCCAATAAAATCAATATAAGTAAATCGAGAACCAGGTTCATCCCACTGACTTGTGTTATTTTCGACAGTCATTAAATTGCTATTATTTAAGTCATTTGCATCTCTTGATTCAGATAATGGTCGTAATAACATTTTATCAAATTTTATTTCATCTTTAATTTTAAATAGAAAATTAATAAATAGTTAGTAAAAATGAAAGTAATAAGGTAATAAACAAAATTTCAATAAATGCTATATTTAACATATTTTTCTTACTTTTTAAATAATATTGAATAAAATGTTCAGGACTAATATTTTTTTTATCAATGTGCTCCTTAACGTCATTATATGATAAGACAGTCCATTCATTGCTATTATCCAATATGTGTTGACAAGTTGGTCGTTGACTGGCCATACCTTTCAGGCAATCACTGCTGACCTCTTCAATGTTATCAAATAGTGTAGAATTGTTTTTGAATTTTCTAAATACAACAAAAATAATGATTAAAATTTTGATCAAGTTGTACTAAAAATTTCAACTCTGCGTACTAACCCAATTGTGTTAATATCGAAATTAAATATTTCCTGAATAACTACTCCCAAACTATAAACATCGGCACTGGGACTATACCGTCGGCCACCATTAACCTCAGGTGCCATATATCTCTTGGTACCCCGACTCTGTGTATGTGATAGGGACTGAGGATCATGGTAAACTGCGAGTTCCAAATCAGTAATTTTTACATATTTATCGCTTGCATTCGGCCGGATCAATATATTTTGAGGTTTAATATTACGATGAATTATGGGTAAATGGAAGCAGTGTAGATAATTGATTGCAATCACTATTTCATGCAATAATTTCGATGCTATATAATAGCCCAATGGTGGTAATAGTTGTTTCGACTTTACATTGAAATATGAAATCATTTGTGTTATGACATCGTCCAATGATAGCCAGCACAATTCTTGTTGGATGTATAATGAATATAATTTGTATTCATTTGACTCAGCCCAATGGGCTATGTATTTGACAATATAGTCATGGTTTAAATTCATCCAGATTGTTATCGATTGGATTTTTAATTTTAGATCATGTTCACCTAAATTATAAAAATATACCATTAAGAATACATTTATACATTATTTTTAACATACCCTTAAGTTTAACCCTTTTAATAACATATTCTGTGTTATCATTTTTTGATTTAACTTTGTATAGTTTTCCGTGTCTGCCTTGATCATATTCTTTAGAAGTGTCTAGTACAAATTCATTTGAAAATTTGCCTGTTGCAAATGTATTCTCAGTTAATTCAGGTTCGTTATTTATTGTGGAGGTATCGGTAGTTTTTTCAGTAGGGTCGTTTAGCCGAAATTTTGTCAATAGAAAGTATTCAATAAATGAATTTTTATGATCATATTGTGCATTTACATCTATTAACTTGATTAATTCAGCACGTATTTTCTCATATGTTAATGCCCATGTGGTTTTATTTTCAAGTATTTCACTAATCGAACCTCTTGCTGTAATTAGTCCATTTAAGCACTTTGTAATAATTGGTACAAGGTTGACATAATAATTTTTGTATTCACTGTGAATTTTGCTATTAAATTAATATGAATTTTTATTTTTAATTTTCATGTTTTTATTGAATTAAAATTTTACTTACTCAAACTTATTAATATCGAAATTAAATAGATCTTGAGCCAATACACCTAGACTATATACATCTGATGATAGCTCATATTTGCGACTTTGTTTAACTTCCGGTGCCATATATTTTCCTGCATTGAGAAACTGTGTATGGGACTGGGACTCTGTTTGATGCTCAATGGCTAACCCAAAATCGGCTAGTTTAACAAAATGTCCATGTGCATGGTGTTTGATCAGTATATTGCTTGGTTGTATACTTCGGTGCATTATTGGTGTGGATTTGTTGTGCAAGTAGTTTATAACTTCAAGAATTTCAATAAATAATTCTGAAGCTATATAATATGATATTGGTACTAGCAAATTAGAATGACCAAGTCTTGAATAATCAAAAATGTAGTGAATTACATATTCCAATGAAAACCAACACAGGTCTGTTAATATGTATAGCATGATTGCCGGTTTATTATCAGGGCAATTTTCTTTGGTGAACCAGTGATGTCTGTATTTCACAAAATGTTCGGAGTCCAATTGTGCCCACATACGTAACTCTCTAATACCCGATCGAAATTTCTCTATTTCTATTTATAATAAAAATTAATATTAATAAATTTATTTAATTATTGAAATATGATTACTATATACTCAAAATTGTGTGAATATTTGCTCTATTATTCATAAATTCATATACGCTACTTTGTTATAAACTAAAATAAGTAATGTTTTATAGTTTATAAATGTTTCTAAACATTTTGTTACAAAGATTTAAAATAAAATTTATATTCAATATATTTATAAATTATAAGTATAATGCTATAGCTATTGACTATATAAAGTTACACTGAATTATATTATTTTGTCACAAACTACAACGTATTGATTTTAAATGATAGATAAAATACTTACCATCAAATGGTATTCTTTTTAGAGCAAATTCACTATCGAAATATTTATGTTTGACAGCATAGACACATTTTCCAAAACCACCATCATGTATCAGTATGATATTATCAAATTCTGCCATTTTGTTTATATTAGCATGTCGTGCAATATCCATTGTAACATCTTTATACACATCTTTGTCCTTGTAATAGTCGAATTTATTTTTATCCAGATATGAAAGTGGCATGCCCTGCATTTCCATAACTTTTAATAGTATGACATAATCTATCGTGGTTTCTTTCATATTATATTCTTTTAAAACAAATGAAATGTCAATTCGCAATTCATTGAACATCTCAAGTGCCTGGGTGCTAGTCGGTCGATTGTACGGCATCGTAGCGGACAGTTGCCTGATAAATTGTTTTAGTTTCAAACATTTACCTTCCAGAATATCATCCCTATAAAATATTGTTATATTATTTACCTTGTTAATTATTAAAGTTAATTGATAACATTTACCCTAGTGAATCTATCTGAAAAATCTCCTCGCATATAACTCCCATGCTGTACATATCGACCATTGTGTTATATTTGCGAATACGATATATTTCAGGGGAAACATATTTAGTTGTGCCCACATTTTCTGTGTGAGATTGATCGGGTATGTGATCTGTAGCCAAACCAAAATCACCAAGTTTAATCCATAACTTATCATGCGTATATTGTACTAGTATATTAGATGGCTTTAAGTCTCGATGAATTATTGCTGGCTTATGTGTATGTAGAAAATCTACACCAATTAATACTTCTTGATACAAATAATAACATATTAAATATTCCCAGTCACTTATTCTGGTAATATCACCCTGTCGATTATACCATTTAGTCTTCGCTGTTAACAAGTGTCTCAGGTTGTGATCACATAAATCCATCAATATAAACAAGGTTAACGTATTTTCTGTACTGTATTCAAGCCAATGGTACATGTACTTAACGACATAATTTGATTCGAGTTGAAACCATACTGATAGTTCATGGTGCATCTTATTGAAATCCTTTTCATCTTTAATTGCAATTAATTTGACAGCGTAATTTAGATTAAATAATTTTTGTTGAACCCGATAAACAGTTCCGAATGACCCTTGACCAATAATCTCGTGTTGTATAAAATTGGCATTTAATCTGCCAGTGGGTATCGGAACACGTTTGTAGGTCACACTCATATGCCCACTAGATTTTCGAATGTAATTCAAGACATTCAAAAATAATTTATTTTCCTGCACCTCCAATTTATCTAACATTGATTGTAAATTTGAATCATTTAGAATAACATTCTTATCCAATGACCATTTATCATAGAGAGCCAATACTTCACGACAATCGGGACGATCATTCCAGTTGGGATGGGTTTGCATTTTCGATAGAATGCCTTTTAAACAATGAACGGGCTCATTTAAAATAGTTTTTGAATATCTTGAATCTATTTGACTGTTGTAAAATTGTTTTTAATTATATTACTAAATGGGATACATCGTGGTGTGTCACTCTGTGGCGTATATAATTGTTGAGAACCAGAGTACACCATATTATCTACAATTTAAATTAATTAAATCTGGCCAACTCCATAAAATGGTCTAGTTAATCCAGTTTTAAGCATAGGTGGCATAGTCATTTTTGTATATAAATTAACATAATATCTTTAAATTACAATTCAAAAAACACTCTCCACTGCAGAAAATCATAAGGTTTTAAGCAGTGTGCTTATTAGTTATAAATACATGAATATAAATTCATAAAAAATATCTAATTCTATAGTAATGTTAATTTATATACAAAAATTACTATGCCACCTATGTTTAAAACTGCATTAACTAGGCCAGTTTATGGAGTTGGCCAGATTTAATTAATTCAAATTGTAGATATTATATTATACTTTGGTTTCTCAACAATGATAATCACGCTACAGAGTGACACACCACGATGTATCCTACTAAGTTTGTATTTATTATATGTGGTTACCTATCCCCATTGAGAAATATAAATTCATATATGTCGACACCAATTAATGAAAGGCTGTAATTGTCCGATTTGCGTCCGTAGATATTACCACTATGAACTTCAGGTGCCCCATATGTCAAATCAGTAGCATCTGCTGTATGTTTGCGTGATTTACGATAGTGTATACTTCTATCATGAATTGTTGCTAAGCCAAAGTCACATAACTTAATAAATCTGCCGTTTCTTCCGTTCCTATAAATTAATACATTTTCCGGTTTGAGGTCTCTGTGAATGATTGGTTTTTCCAATTCATGCAAATACTGAACACATTCTAAAAGTTGTTTAAATATTTCGCACGAAATTGAATATTCGTATATATTCATCGGTTCACCAGATCTTCTATTAAATATTTGTGGCTTTAAATTGATGAAATTTCTAAGAGTTTCATCACCCAACTCCATTTCAATATAATAAATCCTGTGCCGTTCATGAAAACTTGAACCGTAATATTCGACAACGAATTCAGATTTTGTGTCAATTAACAGCTTAATTTCGTTAGCAATCATTTCTCTTTTCTTTTTTGTAAGACCTTTTATCAAAAATTTATTAGTGTTAAGTCAATAAAAGCATCAAATAATTTATTATTGAAACAGTTTTTAAAAAGTTCTAGGCAGACTATACATTAAAATTATATATAACACAAAACAGCCTTTTATATAATTTAATCCATATATTTATCATTAAAATATTCAATGTTTGTAAACATACTGGCGTCCTTTTTAATAGTCTATTTTAATTAGAATATTAACAATTCATATTTAAAAGTTACTTTATTAAAACACTTTTGAATGTAGAATCAATAATTAATTAAATCACCTCATTAAACTATGTATTTTTGTCTCCTAAAAAGATTGATTCCATAATCAATTATCTCTGCATATATATGCTTTTATAGCATGAAGCATCATGTCTCTATTGTAAACTTGTGTAATGTATGATATACGTATTTACTCAAACCATTACATATGAATTAAAAGATCAAACAGAGGCATATGTCTGAAACTTAGTAATGTTTTGGTTTTCAAATAACATATTTAAAGTATATCAAAAATTATTAATTTCTATTGAAAATTGTATATTAAATGTGAAAACCAAAGCATTACTAAGTTTCAGACATATGCCTCTGTTTGATTTTTTAATTCATATAGTTTATTCGCATAAAATTGATTTGATTCATTTTGCTATAAAAGTGTTGAACAATATCTATACATAAATTACTATGTGTTGAACTATAAGTAATGTATCAATTGTAATCTACATTTTGTATAGCTAATCGTTCAATGTATAATATTTGAATATCGAGAAGTTATCAGATCATCGTATCAGAGAAATAATCAGATACAGAATTTTAAATGTAAAAATTATATTTATTATTTATTATAAATCGTATATTAATTTACAAAATTAATCTTTCACTATGAATTAGAAAAGGCACAACCTTTAATAAAACTATTTAAAGTATAGTAAATAGTAACTTAGATTTCAATCAATAACTACTGTATTATGTTTATGGATTAAAATTCATGGATTCTAATAATTAGATATATTATTTGCATATTGAAGTATCATATTTATTTTAAGTAATACAAAAAGTTTATACCTTTAATATTAATCATCTTAATAGCTGTTGCATATCTAGTTTTCGTATTTAAAGCTTTATATACAACTCCATAACAACCACCTCCAATAATTGTATATTTAATATCCTCCATCTTTATTTGTAATTTAAAATAAAATTACATAAAGCACATTTTTAAAAAGAAAAGAGAAATGATTGCTAACGAAATTAAGCTGTTAATTGACACAAAATCTGAATTCGTTGTCAAATATTACGGTTCAAGTTTTCATGAACGGCACAAGAT